CACAGCCCCATGGGGACTGTCCCACCAGCCTTCCCACATGACTCAGGGGTCCCTGTTCAGAGGCAGGTTCTGCCGTTCCCCAAATCCAGCCCCGTCCTGTGCTGGGCAGTGACAAGTACAGGCCCTGGGGGCTCCAGCTATTGTGGGGGCCACGCTCCTGGATTCTCCACCCCCTTGCCCGTCCACCTCCGCACCCTGGTCTGGTCTGGGCCTGCCCTGCACCAACAGCAAAGCCCCCAACACCATGAGTGGCCGAGCTGGGGACAGGCAGGGCTGTTGGCAATACCCATCTCTGCTGATTCTCACAGCCGCTGGCATAATGGCTTGATTTGCTTCATTTATTGATTGGCATCTCCATGCCCTGCTCCCATCCTCTAGTGTCTGAGCACCCTGCATTCATGAATGGACTGATCCTCCCAGCCCCACTCCCCCACTGAAGTAGGGGAGTATCCCCCCATTTACAGATGGGGAAACTGAGGCCGAGAGAGGCCTTCCCCAAGGTCCTATAGGGCGTCTAGCGCTGCTGGGACTCGAGCCCAGTTCTCCCCTTGCTCTCACCACTCGTCCTACTCTGCCATACCTGGGGACGCAGGTGAATTCCTAGATGGCTTTCATGGGGGCATAGCTGGATTCCAGTTTCTGCTTTCTCACCTGCATTAGCCAGTCTCTGACCGGAGTCCTGGCAGCTGGGGGAGGCAAAGGCATTTCAAGCCCTGTTTAAAAGCAAAACCTTGTTTAAAACCAAACCAAACCAAAGTGCACCACAGGAGAGTGAGTCGTATTTTGAAATCTAATACAGTGCCGGAGATTAAGGGATTTCAAGGGGAACTGAGAACAACTTTCTGCTTGGCCGAACGGTCTCAATTTAAAGGGATTACAGGGGAGGGGAGTGAGTGAGTGTGTGTCCACTCTCTAACTCCGGGGGGGGGGGGGGGGGAGCAGAAACTGCCATAGTAGGGTTGAAATTTCAGCTGAATCCTTCACCCGCGTGCCTCACTCTCCCGAAATAGCAGCAGTGATGGTTTACCACATCCTGTGCTGCAGTAGGATCTGACCGTAGAGCCTACCACGGCTGAGCCTTGACTCCCTGGACATCCCCGGCCCAGCCCGCCCCACCTGTTCCGTAGGGGCTCATCCACCTGGGACTGGGAGCCCTCGGGTTGTCTGGGTTCCTCGCGTGGCGCTGGCTTCCCTCTCCCTTCCCCTGGGGTTGAGCGTGCGCCGCTGACCCAGCTAACCGCAGGGCAGAGCAGTACTGGCTTCGAAACCCTCCCTCTTTTCTTCAACAACGGGCTTTTCTTCCCCCTCCAGGGGCTCTTCCTGGATTGGCCTCTCGCTGCAGAGAGCTGCCAGCTGCCAAGGCCAGCTTTTCTAATTATACCTGCGCCCTGCCAAAGGCTCTCCAAGTCAGGTGATTTTCCATACAAGCATTTCCCAGCTCCTAGGAGCCCCCCAGCCTCTTGCGACAGTAGCAAAGGGCTCTACCCGGACTCTCTTGGGCCTCTTCACTCACAGCCCAGTAAGTGGAGGCTGCATGCACAGCTGGCTAGGTGCCACCCCCCAACCCCTCCCGAGCATCTGAGAGCTGGGGGTGTTCCCATTCACATGGCAGCTTTGCAACACTCCCCATCTGGGATCATCAGCAGGGTTTGAACTTGGGATTTTCCACCTGGAAGCACAGCGTCTACTACTACCTGAGCCATCGGGGTAACTCCATTAATGCGTAGCAGTAGTAGGCTGTTATCCTCCAAGTGGCTCGCCGGGAGCGAGGGCGTGGCCTGCACTTTACAAACGTGTTACATGAACATGTGGACTTTTTCAATTATCCTGCTTTTCGACTTGAATAATTTGGTGTGGGGGAAGGCGCCTGATTCTCAGGAGTGTGATGTCCCCGAGCCCTGGGCAGCCACAGGCCGAGCTTTCCCCACACGCAGTCTCCTGCCAGCGTTCAGCCTGTGTGGGTGAGAGGGGAGTGCAGCCTCCATTCACCCTTGTGCTCCTGTGCTCACCAATCAGTACCAACTGGGCTGAGACCCCAACAGCTCATTGCACCCAACAGTCCCCCGTTGGGAACAACTGATAGGCGTGAGTGCCCTTAGCCGGATGTGAATGCCCTTTCAGCCTGTTCCCAATCCCTGAGCCCCTCACTATTTGCATTCAAACAAATGATGTGGTGAACGCTTCCTCCTGCCACCGACCCACCAGACCTATGTCCGCACTCAGATCACCCAGGCCCTTGCAGGAGCTGCACTGGTTATCTGGCCTCCTGTGCCCGCTCTACAGCAAGGCAACCTCGAAACCCTGAGCTGGGGGCTGGCAGCCCAGCGTGGGACAGACTTGCTCCAGTGCGTCGCCGTGTGAGTATGTGGGTGACATCTGAGCTAATGGGGGATTTGACATTATTTCCTTTCTATTCCCCCCACTTCCCCGTTAGCTCCTTTATTGTCACGCTCATTACGCCTGGCCTGTGGGGGTTCTGAGAGCTTTGTCTGCATGTTAGCCAAGCACATGTCCTGCTTAGTACCTACTGCCCCCCCCAGCACACCCCATTCCCAGGACCCCCCGGCACATCCCTCCCCCCACCTCCTGTAGGAATCCCGCCGTCCCCCGCATGCCAGAGACAGCATGGTGGCTCCGTAGACAGGCTGTATGTGTGGGGGGCAGGGCAAAGGGCACTAAGACTGGAGAGTCACCAGGACCCAGGCTGGCAGGGACGTGGAAGCCGTGGCCCTGGGGGTCAGCACCTCCGGGTCGGGAGTGCAAACACGGGGGGCTGAGTGGTTTATTGATGCTGGGGAACCTACATCTCCCCAGGCGGCCTCCCCCGCCTCCAGCTGCTGGCTGGTCCCTCTTCGCTTAGAGGCCTCTAAGGGGGAAGCCGGAGACTCCTGAAGGACTGAGTCCCTCCTGCGTGGAAGTCCCTGGAGCCCCACTGAGCCGCCCCCTTGTGCCCCAGGAGCCGAGGGGGAGGGGTGAATCGCCCCTGAGGCCCCGGCTGCATCGTCCCCACCCCACAGGGCAATGCGGGCACCGGCCAAGCGGGGTCAACGCTGGGGGCTCAGTTCTGCCCTCAGCTCCACTCGCTTCCCCCTTGTACGTGAGGGCAGGGCTGGGGCCTCCCCCCTGCGATCGGGAGCCATGGGGCCCCCCGGGGTTTCTCAGACGCTGCCTCTGCATCCTCGTACCCATAGTCCTCCCCAGAGACAGCAGTGGGGGGTCAGAGCCAAACCAGGCCCTCGGGAACCCGCTGACTAGAGGAGTGGCCTGGCAGCTGCTTCCCCGGTAACCCAGCAGCGATGCAGGACCTGCTGCGCAGTGAAACTGCCCCACGCCGGCCGGAGTCTCTGGGGCAGAAGGACAGAGGGGGAAGGGCGTGTTCATCCCCCGGGCGCCATCAAATCCGCCCCGCGACACAGGAGCTCACAGTCGCACCGCTGAGCTTGGCCGAGGTGCCTGGGGTGTGAGACACACAACCCCCATCGGCCCCACAGGCTCTGCTCGGCCCGGTGTCCATCAAGTGACTGCCATGCACTTCACCGGTGCTGGCGATTCGGTGTCATGGCGGGGAAGACAAGGGGTGATTACTGGTGTTTTGCCCCAAATTTTCCCTCCCTGGCCCTCGCCCCGTGATGTGCTGTCCAGCAGTCATATAGCTGCTACCCTCCACCCCAGAGTCAGCTGCATTCCACGGGTGCCATATGTACCTACTTTGTACAGCCCCTTTGCCATCCCAGATGAAAGTTTACACAGCATCTCTCTGGGCCATTCGTGTATCCTCCTCACTGCGGTGTCAGCGCAGGCCTGCAGATAGCCGGAGTAAACGTCTGCTGCAGTCTGTAGGGGGAGCAAAGGAGGGTTTTTGTAGGACCTATAGAAATGATGGGCAGCGAGGAGGTTCGTGGCTTTCATTTTGCAGTTTCCCGTGGATGACGACGGCCGATTGCACAGTGAAGCGAGAGCGCCACAGGAGAGGGGCTAGGACAATGCGGGAGGCTGACGCTTTCCGGTTGTGGGTGCCCAGCGGGATACACCTGGGATCTGTCGGGGGGGGGAGCTCAGCACCCACAGCTCCTGGGAGCGTCGTACTAGGGGCTCCCTCCATTCCCCCACTGTTACGTCTCTCCCCTCCGCCTCTATTTCAGGGACTCCCCGCAACTCCTCCTATCTCCCTGGTGCCAGGGGTTGTGTGTGTGTGCCCCCATTCCCCCCACTCCCACACACACACACTTACACCAATGTCTCCGTGTGCCCCGCATTCCTCCATCCCTCGTGCCAGGGTCCCATGTTGTCACCCCATGCCGGGGCTGTTTGCGGGCCCCCGTGTGCCCTGTTCTCCCCCACCCCATCACTGCCTGTCTGGAAGAGAAGTCATGCAGGGTGTCAACCCTGGGCGGATGAGCAGGGCCCAGGGTATTTGTTCCGGGGGAAGGCGCTAGCTGTGGCGGTGCTAGACACATGCGGGGGGGGGGTTCTCCTTGTGTTCCCCATTTGCGGGTTTCCGACCCCCCCCCATAGGATTCCGCTGCTGTGTCCAGAACACGCCCCGAAACTTTGGACCTGCTGGGACGCGGCGCTCGCAGGTTCTGCCCCCCACAGAGACAAACCCCTTTGGGTGCGGGGCAAGGCCGCCCCCGGCCGGGCTAATCAGCTGTGACGTGGCCAAGCCGGCGGCGGCGAGGTGGGCGAGGGCCGGAGCGCGAGGCGCTGAGTGCGGGGCGATCCCGAAGCCCCCACAGCCCCGCAGGGCGCAGGCAGCCCCCGCACCCGGTCTCCGGGTAGGAGACGCCCCGTGCCCCGCGGCTTTGCGCTGGCTGGCGGCTGCGGGGCTGCAGCCGGGGCTCGGGGGCTGGGGAAGCGGAGCGGGCGAGCGGCGAGCAGCCCCCCGCCGGCCGGGGAGCGGGGCCCGGGCTGAGCGCGCCGCGCGGGGCCGCTCCCCCCCGAAGGGCCAATCCCGGCTCCGCGCACGGCGCGATCACCGCCCAGGTAGGAGCCCGGCCGCCCCCCGGCGCCGCTGGGCGGCAGAAGTTGGCAGGCTCCGGGGCGTTGCAGCCAGCCCGCCCCAGCCGGAGCCGGGGCCCCAAGCGCCCCTCGCCGTGGGGTGCGGAGGACCCAGGAGCGGAGGCTCGTTAAACCGCCCCGGGGGGAAGCGGGGAGACCCCGGATCCGGATCTCCGGGCGTGAGTTCTCCGCGGCGAGCGGGTCGCGGCTGGCGGGGCGGCCACGAACAATGGGGCAAGTTCCCCTGCTGGAAGCGAGCAGCCCCTGCCCCCAGTGCCATGGCCCCGGACGGGCAGGGGCCGCCTGGGCGTGCTTGGGACAGTCCCTTGTGTGGGGGCCTGGGAAAGCGGGGGGGCTGGCGCCATTCTCTGGGGCACAAGGGGGCGGCTCTGGGAGGAGAGTGGGGGTTGGGAGCCGGGACTCCTGGGTTCCATCCCCGGCTCTGGGAGGGGAGCGGGGGCTGGTGGGTTAGAGTAGGGGGGGCTGTGAGCCAGGACTCCTGGGTTCCATCCTCGGCTCTGGGAGGCGAGTGGGGGCTAGTGGTATAGAGTGAGTAGGGGGGCTGGAAGTCAGGACTCCTGGGTTCTCACCCTGGCTCTGGGAGGGGACTGGGGGCTAGTCGGTTAGAGCAGCGCGGGAGAGGGGCTGGAAGTCAGGACTCCTGGGTTCTATTCCTACAGACTTGTTGTGTGACTTGGGTGAGTGGCTTATCCTGTTTGGCCTCAGTTTCCCCAGCTGTATCAGGAGCGGAGTGACAGACACACCCTGAAAAGGGAAGTGCTGCGCGGAGGGAGGCCGTGGCTCTGTCCCAGGAGGTGTTTTATGGGGAGAGGAGGGGACATGGTTCTCTTCTCCCCTTCTTTCCTCTGTCATGTACACCCGCACCCCACCCCCATGGCCAGACCCAGGCAATCCAGGATGGATGCGGTGGCCACAGCCAGCCCCCCGGGGAGGGGAGTGGGAGACGGAAATGCTGCCTGGCTCCTGTGTGAGCGCGAGGTGCCTGGAACCGGAGAGGCTGGGGGGCAGTGGGGGCTGCCCCCAGAGCCTGGGTCAGGCTTGTTTCACCGCCCACATTCTGTGGCTCGATTCTGCTGTGAAACCTCAAAGAGCCGTTTGCCCGTGGCTGGTTTGTGCTAAGCACAAGGAAAGATGCCCTTCGTGCAGAGCCTCGCAGAGCGGGGGAGAGAGGGATGGGGATGGGTGGAGTGAGGGACCAGCTAGTGGAGAAAGGGGCTTGGGAGGGGCCTGCATTGTACTAGAGGGGTAAGAAAATCTCCCTGTGGGCTGGGTGCAGGGTGGAAGCAGGAATAGACCAGCCCGTGTGGAACCCAGTAGTAACCACCTGCCCCGTTCTGTAGGCCGGATCCTTCTCCCACAAGGCTCTGTCCTTGCTCCCCTCCCCGGACACGACATGCTGCTTGTAAAGGTCTGGAGAAACACGGCATCAGCCTAGACTGAGCCAAACCAGCTCCTGGAGCGTGATGGCGTCCAAGCCGTAGGAAATTCTAAGCCAGGCTGACGTACGTGGGGCAAACATTGGCATAAGCTTTACCCCGGGCCTGGGTTCGGCCTGCTAGGAGACAAGTGAAAGCGAAGGGATCTTTCTGTCCCGGGGTGTAAAGGGTTAAGTGCGGCGCCTGTTCCTCCCAAATGCTCCGTAGCTGCTGCTGGGGAAGGGACGGATCCGTCCGACTCCCCAGTGCTTCCCCGTGTGTCCTGATGGCGAACCAGTCAGAGCACAAGCCTGGGAACCGGGATCTCCCGAGCACTCGGGTCCTGGATTTGCCACTGTCTCTCTTTGGGGCCTTGGATTCATCCAGCCCCTGCAGGCTTCGCTTTCCTCCTCTGGGAGAGGACAAAGCAACGTCCCTGGCGGACTCCGTACAATAACGCGCCTCTCCAGGGAAAGCTGTCCGGACGAGAATGAATCCATCATTCACAGCCACCTCTGGGGAGGAGCCAGAGCAGCCGTTTAACAAGGCACCTTCGGCCCGTTTAGGACAGGAAGCCACGTCCAGTTGGATCGGGGCGGGAGGGATTTAGGAAGGATGCAATCCCCTAGGCTGGGATTTGGCCAGGACATCCAGGCTGTGTGATCTTCAGTGATCACAAGCGATCTCACGCAAACAACTGCGCTTCAGCACTCCTAGTACCAGGGTTCTCTACTGATTCTCCCCCAGGGCACTGTGGGTCTCCTAGCCAAGCACCGGCCTGGGCCGGGCCTACTTAGCTTTGGAGTAGGGTGACCAGACAGCAAGTGTGAAAAATCGGGACGGGGGTGAGGGGTAATAGGAGCCTATATAAGAAAAAGACCCAAAAATCAGGACTGTCCCTATAAAATCAGGACATCTGGTCACCCTACTTTGGAGAGGGGACACAGTTGCCAAGTCACATCCAGGAGGAGCAAGGTGCAAACCCAGGAGCCTTAACTAGGTGGTGCAAACCGGCCACCGTAGCATCCCAGCTATCTGTAACTTCCAGTGGGACGGGAGGGGCAGGGCGGCAAAGGAGCCAATTGTATTAAAGTCACGGCTCTTGATTTTGAAGAGTACAGCGGTGACATTGCAGGGACGGGGTGGAGTGGAGCTGGGAATGTGACGGGGGAGGCGGGGATCAAGGTGGGGGAGTGTGTGAATCCCGGGGATACAGAGTCTGCCAAAAACAGAGCGAGTGGCAGAGAAGAGCAGGCAGGGCCGAGGCAGTTTGAGGCGAAGGTGCAGTCGGGTGGTTCTTGGCCTGGGCCTGCAGGACACGCTAGAGAAAGCACTGCGTGCAGGTGAGGGAGGCCGGGGCTCGGTGACTGGAAGAGCCAGGTGCTGCTGGCAGGTAGAGGGAGACGACCCCCCGAGAGCCTGGGAAACTTGCAGCAGGCCGTGGTGCAAGCCTGAGCAGCAGCCCGGGACAGGCGTCAGCAGCTGGAGAGATTCCAGCCTGGCTCCCAGGCCCACGCCCCTGGGGGGGTCCCGATCTCCAGGGCTGATGAATTGTTTTCTCAGGTTACCAACCTCGTTTCTCCATCTGTCCAATTTTAGGCTCCTTGGGAACCCCGCCCGGTGCCTTCGTGACAGCCCAGGATGGCCGCTCCCTGGTTCCTGCTGATGTCCGTGTGGCTCCCGCTGAGCCTCGCCCCCGTGTGCCAAGCTCAGGAGGCCCCTCCGTCTGGGTGCGGCACGGACCTGGCCTCGCTGTACTACAACCTCTGCGACCTGTCGGCGGCCTGGGGCATCGTGCTGGAGGCGTTGGCCAGCTTCGGGGCAGTGACCAGCTTCGTGCTCACCATCATCCTGGTGGCCAGCCTGCCCTTCGCACAGGACCCCAGGAAAAAGAGCCTGGTGGGGACTCAGGCGTTCTTCCTCCTGGGCACATTCGGCCTCTTCGGCCTGACCTTCGACTTCATCGTCAAGCGAGACTTCTCCACCTGCGCCTCACGGCGCTTCCTCTTCGGGGTCCTCTTCGGGATCTGCTTCTCCTGCCTGGTGGCCCATGCCCTCACCCTTAACTTCCTGGCCAGGAGGAACCATGGGCTGCAGGGCTGGGTGACCTTCGGCGTGGCCCTGCTGCTGGCCCTGGTGGAGGTGATCATCAACGCCGAGTGGCTGCTTATCACCCTGGTGAGGAGCAACGGCCCCTCCCAGGACCCCTGCACCGTGGCCAACGAGGACTTCGTCATGGCGCTCATCTTCGTCATGTTCCTCCTGTTGGCCGCCTTCGCCACTGCCTGGCCAGCCCTGTGCGGCCGCTACAAGCACTGGAGGAAGCACGTCGTCTTCATCCTCCTCACCACCTCCCTGTCCATGATCATCTGGGTGGTCTGGATCATCATGTACCTCTACGGGAACCAGCAGAGGGGAGGCCCGGCCTGGGACGACCCCACCCTGGCCATTGTTCTGGTGGCCAATGCCTGCGTCTTCGTCTTCTTCTACATCATCCCTGAGGTCTCCCACGTGACACGGCCGGGCCCAGAGCAGGCCTACGAGGACGACATGTACCCGACCAGGGGCGTGGGCTACGAGACCATCTTGAAGGAGCAGAAGTCCCAGAGCATGTTTGTGGAGAACAAGGCCTTCTCCATGGATGAACCCGCCTCAGGTAGGCAGGAGAGCTCTGGCCAAGGGGGCCGCGGGCACTGGGGGCGGAGAGGCAGCTGTGGCTCTGAGTGATTGTACCGCTGGGGGTGCAGTGGCGGTGGTTCCACTGTCTCGGCAAATTCCAGCTGACTCGGGGTCCGTCCTTCGTGTGCACACGCGCTCGTGCACATGGACGTGCGTTCCGTGAGCTGCCCGACAGCACCGTCCTATGGGAGCCGAGCCTCGGGTCAGGGGACCGGCCTGTGAGCTGTTCCCTGAGCCCAGCCCTGCACGGCCCTGAGCAGCCTCCGCCCGCCTGACTTCCATGGGAGCTGGCTGCATAGCACCTTTCGGGGGAGCTCGGCGCCGTGCAGGATTGAGCCCTTTGCGACACAGGGCAGCTTCCATTCCCAATCTCCATTCAGCCAAATATTTGGGACGGGGCCAGGGTGCGGTGGTGGTAGGGCTGCTGCTGCCGACAGAGCTGGCCCATCACGTGGACAGAGCGGGCTGTGAGCCGTGGCTTTGGCAGGGAACTGGAGGCCATGGGCCCCGGTGCACGGGGAGGGTTATGTCTGGCATTATACCCACGTGTCTGATGTTACCCCCTCTGAGGGTGGCGGGGCCAGTGCCTGGGGGGAGGTGGCTGAGATCAAACTTGTTTGTTTATGTCCTCTAATTGTGTGATTCAGCAGCTCCAGGCTGCACCCGCGGCAGCTGCCTGTCTCTCTCCCTGCTCCCCTCCGGCCGCCTCACCCCCATTGCCTCTTCCACTCAGGTAGTGTCTTGGTGTGTTAGGCGGCGAGCTGTCTGGGGCAGGGCCCTGTGTGCGTGCAGCGCCTAGCGCCGCGGAGCTCTGATGCTGACGGGGGCCCCCCGGGTGCTGCAGCAATACAAACACCTCTTTGTGGAGCACGTGGCTCCTGGGAGGGAGTTGTCAGCCAGGCAGCCTGCCCTGGTGGGAAGGTTTGTTGTGACACGGTCCATTCAGCAGGACCTGGACAGAGACCACCTGCGCGCTTGGATCTGGTGAAGGAACAGCCAGATATCTGCTCACTACCAACCTGGACCGGTTTGAAATAATGACTTCAATTGTTGTCGTTCCGGAAGCACACACAGGCTGCTTGCTGGCCTGGGACATTTACAGCTGGGAGCCCAACTGTTTTCTCCCTTGTGCCTGTTGCCAAGAGCACAGCGTTCTTCACGGGCTTTTCCTCCACTAAGAGAAAGTGTAGCTGCTATTTCTTCTGGCCTCCCCCTGCTAAGCCCAGCAACGTCCAGGAGACCCTGCAAGAACAAACCTGTGCGGTGCCACAGCTCCATCGAGAAGCCGGACAAGAACAAAGCAGCACGTGTAACCGAGGGCTCACGAGCCACCCTACACTACCACGCTTGTGTTTGCCACGCGTGCGCAGCCCCCCCATAACCAGCCCGTGTGCGCAGGCCAGAGCTCCCAGGTGACCCTACGATAACAAACCATTGCTCGCGTGTAAATAACATGGACTGGGGCTGATTGGCTAAGACTGCATGTGACTTAATTGCTGCTGGGACTGGGGCCAAACAAGCCTTGCCTCCAGCCCCCAGCTGCTCGCCCCTGGCGGGAGGCCCTCTTGTGAGTTAGCTCATTAGAACCTGCTTGTTCGTGCTGTGCCATAAACAGCTCCTTGCTTCACAGCCGCCTTCTGCTCTGTAGGGCTGGTCTGCGCACGCACGTTGTACCCCATTAATGACACCGGTCTAGGGAGGGGACGTAGTCAGACCGGGACACAGGTGCTGGTACCAGTACCCGCTGGGGAATAAGATAGGACCATGGGAGTAGACGGGTCCCTGAGTCCAGTTCCTGCTGTCGCAGGCAGTCCCATCGTATAACCCTAAAAGATCCCAGTATAAGGCCCCTGGAGCGCCGCGTAACTGCAGCCCCACGTGGGGTTGTACTGGTGTAACTCTAGCTGACGTGGCTCTCCCAGTGCGTGGAGCAGGCCTAAGCCAGCTGGGGCACTGGGCTGGGGTGGTCTAGGTTTGCCTGCCGCGGGGGGCTGGACTGGGTGATTTCTCAAGGGCCCTTCCAGCCCCAGGTCTGTGTGATTCTATGACTCAACAGTCTGTATGTCGCCTCCTGAGTGATGCCACCTGCCCGCGCTGGAAGGCTGCCCGGTTGTTAAGGCAGTGTGAAAAACAGCACATTGATTTCAGTGGGCTTGTGTCAGACCACAGCCATCGATGCCGGTGTCCAGCCAGGAGGTCCCTGCCCTCCGGAGAGAAGTCTCTCTACTCCCTTTCAGCGTGGCCAGTGGCTGATTAATGCATGGGCCCATGGGTCCTGTGCCCAGGAGCCCCGGCCACTTTGGGGGTCCCAGGAGTGCCAGAACCTTGTAGAAGTGGGGGGGGGGGGCAGCACTGGTGCCCGAACTGTGACCCCGTCCCCTGCTCCTCCTCTTCCCCGGGACCCCACCCCCTGGCCAGGCCACAAGCTGGAGCTGGGCAGTGGTAAAAGCTGCCATGGGGAGCCCTGGATGGGGGAGCCTGAGAACAGCCCCTGACCCGTGTCCCCGCCCCCCTGGGAAGAGGCTGGATCAGCTCCCCTGCCGCCACTGGCTCCGCACCTGCCCGAGGCGACTGTGCCCATGTTAAAGTGGGTGGGCAGGGCCCCTGGCCCGGCACCTCGGCCCCCGGCATGCAGGGGGCCCAAATGTTCTTTGTGCCCAGAGCCCCAATAAATCTGACTCCACCTCTGAGCGTGCCCGGTGCTTTTTCTCTTTGCAGCCAAGAAACCGGTGTCACCTTATAGCGGGTACAACGGGCAGCTGGTGACGAGCGTGTTCCAGCCCACGGAGATGGCTCTGATGCACAAAGGGCCCGTAAGTCAGACCGGGAGTGTGTGTGTTCTCCCCACGTCAGCCGGCCGGCGGTCGCTTGCCTGGGTGTCCCCTGGGTGCAGGACGGGATAATGTCCCAGCACAGGCCCCGCTCTCCGGCCAGGACACGAGGCTGTGGCCAAGCGAGGCAGGGCGGCGGGGGGTGTATGTCCCATCCCCGGCTCTGCTGCTAGCCTGCTGAGCTGCCTTGGGCAAGTCGCTCCTCCCTCTGGGCCTCAGTTTCCCCTCCCGCCCTCTGCCTGTCTGGCCTGTTCAGCCTGTGAAGCCGTCTGGGCAGGGATCGTCTCCCACACGGTGACTGCAACGCCTGGCACGGTAGGCCCTGATCTCGGTTGTGTTACGGGAGTGAGCTGAGCAAGGGGCTCGTCCCCAGCACCCTGCCGTGAGCTGCTCCAGATTCCAGTCACGTTAGGGTGCAGCCGGGCGCAGCCTGGCATGGTTGGGCTGGGGGCGGGTTGCACCAGGTGCTCTCTACCTGGGCATCCCTGGCCCCATTGCAGATGAGGGAGGTGAGTGGACAGGCCGTGCACTTTCTACCTAGACTGTGAGAGCTGATTTGAATGGCCCCTGTTGGTGCCTGGAGAGCCCCTCCCTGCAGGGACAGGGCTGGGTGCAGGGGTGGGGCTGGGTGGCAAGCCAGGAGACCCTTGGGGAAGTTGGGGGGGTAGGTAAGCCACTCCGAAGTGCCAGCCATGTCTCTTCTCAGCCCTGTCCTCACTTGTTCTGTTTTCAGTCCGAAGGCAACTACAACGTCATTCTCCCCCGGGCCAGCGCCAACAGCCAGATGACCAGCAGTACCAACTCCACCCTGCGCGCAGAGGATGCCTACGCGGCACAGAGCTGGCATGCAGCAGCCCAGAAGGATGGCAAGGGCGTCCAGGTCTGTGATAATGTGGAGCTGTGCCACTGAGGCAGCATGACGAGTGGTTACAGCAGGGGGAGCTGGGAATCGGGGGGGGGAGATGGAGGGGGCTCTGATTCTACTGCCACTGTCTCCCTATGGGGCCGTCGTGCTCTGTGCCTCAGTTTCCCTACCTGTTAAATAGGGATTAGACAGACACCCCCCTTTGTGAAGGTGTTTGGAGACCTCCTGGTGGAAATGCCTCCTGCGTGTAAGTCCAAGGGATTGTATTGCTACTAGGACCTGTCGTCCTTGCATCCTCTTGTTAACTCCAGCCTTCCCAGCTGGCCTGGGGATCTGCAGGGATTGGAGATCGATCGTGCTTCATTCGAAGGGTCTAGGATTTCAGTGGCAGGTCTGGGAATAAAAACCCTCCTTCCACAGCTGGGGATGAGATTTCCTGGTTCCCTTGCGCGAGGGGTCAGGACTGGTGTCTCCGATGCAGAAACTGAGGCAACAGGCCTTGCCCACCTCCTCACTGCAAATAGTAGCAGAGCTGGCATAGAACCCAGGAGTCCTGGCTCCCAGGCCCTGGCTCTAACCCTAGCCCATCCCTACCCCTCTTGCGTTAGAATTCAGAGACGGTGGAAGTGGGCTGTTCCCCGCTCTCTGAATGCAGCGAGCCGAAGGTTTGTGTGTCCAGGCCTCTCCCCTCTCCAATAAATCCACCCTTCAGATGAAACCCCGCAAAGCCCTCGCCTGCGTGCGACTAGAATGCACTATTCTCCTTGGCATCGTGGGGTTCTTACCGCTGCCTTTCTGATGGGATCTGACCTGTCCCGGCCAGGAACTGGCTCATTTCTAGATTCTCAGAACAATCCGTTTGTTTATTTCAACCAAGGCCCAGACTTGGGCGTGTGACAAAGTGAGAGGCCATTGGGCAAACCCCTGCTGACTCCAACTTGGCCATGTCTAGGGGAATTCCAGGTCTAAGCTACGGCTGTGCCTCTCAGCTGTGGAGTCCTGATCTCCGTCTCTCTGCTTTAGGCTCCCTCTCCTTACAGCAAGAGCAGGTGGTAGAGATCCCCGCCTGGGCTCCTGCTGCTCTAGAAATCACCGGCGATCCCCTTCCTCCAAAGAGGGAACCTGTCTCCTTCCCCACCTGTGGACAGTCAAGCCAAGGCCAACGACGGGAACTGATCCTAGAGCCTCCAGCCAGGCTGGGTCTAAGCCCAGGAGAGGAGAGAGAATCCAGTTCTTTCCCCACCCAGCCGTCCCCAGAGGGAATCCAGAGACTCTGCTAAACACTGGCTTGGCCCTCAACCCCGCTGTGCTATTGATCCTCCTGCTGGGGACGCCGGACTGCACAGACTCCGGGGCTGCTGAGGTTGGGTCCTGAACGTGGGAACGGTCCCTCTTGGCAGCGTTCACCCTCCTGGCAGCGGTGAGCATGTGCTGCCCGGCGCCTCGTACCCGTGGGAATCGCCTCTTGGCTGCATGAGCCACGTTCGCTTTGCGGCAGGGCCCACTCTCCCCGCTGGCTCCGTCGATTCGCTCCCCGTCCCCTCCTGAAGCCCCAGGACAATCTGCCACTCGGTGTCCGGATGCAGGAGAACCACCCGGCTGCAGGCTTCAAAGGCAGTAGCTTCACGTGGGAGACCGGCGAGCACCTCTGTCGGATGGAGCCTCCACTTGCAGGGAGCCGAGCTGAGCAGGTCTCGGCTGGGACCTGCCTTGGACAGAGCCACACAGATCTCCCTGGCTGTTGCCCCTTGGTGTGGGGCCCTCCAGGGGCTGCATGGCGTTCCCTGCCCCAGAGCCACACCCATTCAGCCCAGCATGGAAGAAGCTGGGTCCCAGGACTGGCGTCCTCCACAGGCCCTGCCCTGGGGTCCATTCCTTCCTGTTGCAAAGCCCGTGTGGTATCTTCCCCACCACGTCTTGGCCGGGAGGGCGCTGGGTCGCTGCCTGGCTCTGAGACGCGTTCTCTCAGTAAGCCCCTCAGCTGACGCGGGAGACCACATGGTGCTTTCTCCTGGGTGTCTCCGTCCCGGGTTTGGAGAGCGAGGTGCATAGAGGTGTTTGCTCACGGATCTGCTGCACGGGAACTGTCCGCAAAGGCTGACCCTTCTGCAGCAACTGCTGTCTGTTCTCCTGCCCCAGCCGGTGCTCAAAGCGGGGGTCTCCCCAGCCAGGTGCAGACTGGGGCCAGCAGCAAGATGCCCCATGCACATGTGCAGTGGCTCCTGGGGGAGCTGCTGCAGCCGGGTGCGTGCTGTGTGGGGAGCTGGCAACGGTCTCGCATGGTGGCAGGGGCAGCAAAACCTGGCAGCCCACTCGTGTGGATGTGCAGGTGGAGCAGAACTGGGGTTGGGGTCCTGTCCCCCTCCCACCCTGTGAGCACCCTGCACTGCCAGCCAGCTGCTCTGAGACCTGCCGTGGTCTCCCAGGGCTTCCTCTTGGCTTCAGCTGTCCCGGGATCCCTCCCCTCCTCTACCATAAGCGTGGAGCTGTGGGAGGTGTGGGGCTGGGGTCAGAATGCAGGCCGGGGAACCAGCAGCACCACAGCTCTCACCCCAGCCCTGACTCCTGCTGTGCCTCAGTTTCCCCCATCTGCCAAGTGGGGATGACGGCACTGATCCCCTTCCCATGCCGCTGGCTGCGGAGAGGGCAAGTGATCTCCTGGCACAGAGTGAGATCAGAGGCAAGAAACAGGCCGTGGTGTGGGGGAAGGGGAGGAGACTGAGTGAGGAAAGACCGAGATCCAGGGCTGTCCCGGGTTCTTGACAGCCTGGTCCCCCTCCCCCCTCTGAACAACCCTTTGGCCTCTTCTCCAGCCTCTCAGAGCGGCGCACTCAGGGCCTTCCTACAGGGACTGTAAAATCATTTGGTTTTTTACCGATCCCGCAATTGTATGGGATGGGCGTGGCCTATATCATGTGGGCGTGGCCAGTCCCTCTACCATCTTTGGTCTCCGACATGCAAAGGGCCAGATTCTGCTCTCGTTCGCCCCGGCGTCCAGGGGGAGCGAGTCCATGTTGGTGTCAGCAGCGGCGTTCCGGGGTCACCCCAGTGCCGCCGAGAACAGGGATCAGCCTTCCCAGGCTGGGTACCCAGGGCCGCAGGGGTGCTGGAGCGAGCGTGCTGTTGACTCGAATGTTATTCCCCCTCCCCCGGCGCGGAACTGTCCCTTTTCCTTTTCAGGTGACTTTTGGCTTTTTTTCGGTCACTGTGTGTGCAGAATAAAGCTGGTTTTTCCTACGTGGCGCAGTGGTTGGTCCCTGCCCGGCTCGGAGAGGGGAGCTTCGGTTGGATAGACGGGAAACGGAGGGGAGGGGGCGCATTGCACATGTAGGTCTTCTGGGGAGGGAATGGGAGAGGGAATGGGGACATCTTGCAGGCCAGTTGAGTGGAGGAGGGGAAAATTGGTTCCTGCCTGGGGAATTCGCTTATCTCTCCCCCCCCAATAAAATAGGAGGGAAGAGCGGGCGGGGGGTTGGGGGGGGCAGCTGCTTGTGGCAGTGGCTGGAGCTCAGAGGGCCAGACTGAATCCAAGTGCCTGGAGCAAGGGGCTGAGGGGAAATCGCCGTTCCAGGGGCCAAGCCGCAGCCTCTGACAGCCCCTGCTTTGCCCTAATGGAATTCATCCAGTCAACAATGTTTTCCCGGGGCCGGTTGTAAACCCCACCGAGCTTCCTGCCTTCGCCGTCTTGTTCCCCCGCAGGAAGCGCTGGCCCCATGGCCCGATTTGTTCCTTCCGTGGGTCGAGTCGCGGTGCCGCCGAGCACGTCCCTTCCCGGCACGGCTCGGCCTCATTCCCACGAAGGCGGCGCCTGCCCTGCTCCCCGGGTCGCCCTGCAGCAGGAGGAATGTGGGTGAGTCAGGTGGCAGGGGTGGGATCCTGCCGTGGGTTATAGGAAACAGGGTGTCCCAGCCCTTCCCAGGGAGCCTGGACAGTGCAGGTTGGCTTCCTCTTTTTTTTGGAGGCAGGGTCCTCTCCAGCCTCCCCCAATTTTCCTCTATTCCTAACCACCCCTCTGCACCCCTCAGCCCTGGCCTCCCCTGCAGCCACCGACCCCCCACTCTGCCACTCCTTAATCCTGCCCTGCAGCCCCCTGTTATCCCTGGCCTGGGTTCCCCATCCCCACAGCTCTGCTGATGCCCCTCACTCCTGACCTGCAGCTCCCCCGCTGGGCCCCTCTGCAGAGTGGAGGCCGTTAGCCAGACTGAGATGAGCAAAGGTGCGAGTCACGGGCATGAACAGGGAAGCAGGGCTGAGACCTACCAAACTCATTCCCCTGGCGGTTCTCAGGCACGTTCTGAACTGGAGCCCCAGAGGTGCCAGGCGGGTGCAGCTGCTTGGCTGCATGTTGTGTCCCTGGGGCGGGCGATCCGGCCAGCCAGCGGGGGGAGGGAGGGTGGTAAAGGACGTACCAAGGTCAGGTGAGATTTCTCCTGCCCGGATTGTCTTTCCCCCTCTGCAGTGATTTTCCGGCCAGCCAGGAAGCGGGCGCCTGAGCAAATAGCGGCTCCATGAATTATTTAGCACCTGGAGCTCCTCAGTCCGGCCTCGTGTGAGCCTGCGACCTCTTCCTCCTTGAGACGGGGGCACCGTGGGGGTGGGGCAGGTTAGCCGGCCTTGCGGCTGGGTAGCTGCTCGTCAGCCCCCTGGGCAGCCGGAGTCGAACCCACAGTTCAGAGGGAGGGACTGTGGTCAGGTATTTACCCCATGGCACTGGGGCTCCGGCCGCCTGGGTTCTCTCCACGGGGCAAGTCCCTTAACGGCTTTGTGCTGGAGTCGGCGCTCAGGCTTGGGCAGATCAGTTAGGTGAAGTGGCTCCATGTTTGAGATGTGCCCGTGGGCCCTTCCCCATAATGCCAGAGCCAGGAACCATCAGCTGGGCCCAGCAGGAGGAGCCCTGTGCTGGGCCTGGGGCCGCACAAGGAGAGACCCAAGAGGGCGTTTCTGTCTCCAAGCCCACTGCCCGGAGGGTGGCAAAGGGACTCGTGGGCGGCCATTCCACGGGGGGCATTAACCAGGGCACTGCGGCCAATAGCACGCAGCTCTCGCAGGGCAGGGAGCAGCGGCGAGAGCCCTGGGCAGCCGTTCCACCCCCAGCTATCCTGGGCATGATGCCAGCGTGTCCCCTGCTGGCAATGGAGCACCCACCCCTTCTCAGCAGGCAACCGGGCGTTGGGTCAGGAGCAGCTTCCAGGCAGAGCCTGTCGGACTCCTCCTCCTCTGGCTCCGGGGCAGCCTGGCTCCCGGTGCAGACCTGCCAGGCCCAGCAGAGGAAGGGCACAGAGGGCACCGGGCATGGGTGTGAGAGGCGATGTCAGCCTGGCGCATGCAGGGTCCGACCGCGCTGCCAATAGCTGCTGCACCGAGATAAGAGGAGCCCAGGCAGGAAATGGGCTTGTCGAGCCAAAGCGGGGCTCTGCTGGGCCTGGGGGTCCGGGGCGGCCTGGGGTTCGGCTCACGGCCCAGCTCTGGGCCGAGGCTGTTCAGTTAATCTCCCAGCCCCTGCCTGGAGGGGCATGGACCAGGATGGGGTCCTGGGCACAGCACCTCATGGGCAGCTTCAGGGCAAGGGTTGTAGTCTGCTATGGGTGGACTGGGCACGTCCGACATCCCCACAGCCGTACGCCCTGGCGCTGCAGGTACACACTACTGCACCCCCGCACATTCATGCACAGCCTGCCACTTGCTCACACACACACACACACACACACACACACACACACACACACACTGCCTACGCTCTGTCCCACCCCCCCACCCTTGCACGTGCTCACACACGCACACACTGCCCGGCACACTCACCATCGCTCTCTCACACAGCCGCCTGCCAAGTGCGCACATGCTTATCTGCACATGGCCCGTTGCAAAGGCACTTGTCACCCACCCAAGGGCCCTCCCCACTCTCCCAAGCCCTGTCACTCTCCCAGTCCCGTGGTGGAAGGAGCGCTCCTGCGTGTGCAAGGAGGTGCGTGTGCGCTCACTGCCCACTCCTGGCTTGATTGCCTGTGCAGATTGGGCTGTTATCTGCTCAGAGACCGTGTCCAGGTTACTGAGTAACCCTGGGGGCAAAGGCTGAGAGAAGAGCTGAAGGCACCCTCAGAAGTGGGGCTGGGCAGGTCCCTCCCGGCAGTGAGACCTGCCCGGAGGGGTCGGGGGCAGCAGCATCTGGTCTGTAAAGGAAAGGCACAAAGCCGGGCAGGGGGCTGCTTTCCTCTTGGCTACGATTTGAGCCTCTCACTTTCCCTTCCCTGCCTCCTGCAGGTTAGTTGCAGCTCAGGGTTTACAGTGGGGCAGCCCCCTCACCCCGCAGCCGTTCCTATAGCCCCAGCAGCTCTGGCAGGAGCGCAGGCCCTTCCAGCGTCTGCCCGGCCCCCCGGGTTCCCTTTGCGGGGCGGATGGTTGTGCGCAGGGGGTGGGGTAGGTTGGAACTAACCCCATGATCTGCACCACAAGCCCAGCAGTGGGAGTTGGTGGGTTTCCCGTGGTTCTGAGCCACGGGGTGCAGGATTCGCTCAGCATGTGCAGCCCCTGGGCCCACTGGGTCAGACTCTGTAAAGGTGAGAGGGGCGCGGGTGACAGGGTCACAGATCCCACGCTCGGCTCCCTCCTCCAGAGGGGACGTGGTGCGACACTGCGCAGCGTCACTCAACAGCCCCCCTTCCCCGCCCCTGTTCTCTCTCTGCTTAGCACTCACCCCCGCTCTCTTCTCTGGGCCGCGCCACATGGGGCTGCCTTGTTTTCTGTGCACTCGGAAATCCTGAACCAGCCCTGGCCCTGGCCAGGCACACCAGACTCAGCCCAGGCCCCACATGACCCCAGGGGCCCTGCTCTAACCACCATGCAGGAGCTGGGACCCAGGGCCCCACGGATTTCTGGATCCCCCTTTCCGAAAGCCCAGATCTGAGTCAGTAACCAGCTGACTGCACTAGGGTGACCAGATGTCCT